AACATGGGCCAGTGAAGCAACATCCTCCACAACTAGACTGAAGAACAAAAGGATAGCAACTTGTCTGTTCCCCTTCCCCGATTCCCCAACATTGTTCCCCTCCCCCAATTCCCCAATAAAAATCTTAAAAAAAAAAAATTGATGCCACAGGGAAAACAAGTTTTAGTTTCAAGTATAATAACATAAAACTCAACAACTACAGCAGTAAAAATTGCAGAAGTTATATAATGTAGATGAGGACACTGAAGAAAGGGAACGACAAATGGTCTAGGTGAAAATAATTTTGAGTGTTTTTTTTTTTTTGGACTATATTTGACATGTAGCATTTTAGATTTAAGGTGTTCAACATGTTATTTTGATATTTATATATTGTAATATGATTGTTGTATTGATATTTATGAATGTACATAATTATAGTGCAATATTGTCTACCAGGGGTGCCAAAGAAACGTATACACATTTTAAGAGATGTTATCTATGTATGATTTTTCAAAGTTGAATTGAGTTATGGTAAAAATGTGTAGTATGACATTCGCTCAAAAGATGGCGTTCATCAAATGAATGCTAGCGTCACCATGCGACAGGACAGTCAAAGGAAATGGCAGAAGCATGCTTGTTAATCGAGGTGCGCAAGACCATTTTGAAGTGGTATTTGAAATTTGAGAATGCGGTGCAAGTATGACAATGGAGGCATGAGTATGCAACAGAACCTCCAACACGACTAACAACTGCATGCATTCGTGATAATTACACACATGGTACTGTGTGTGATGTGCACAAGGGAAGATCCGGGAGGCCACGCACAGCAACATGTCCTGCTTCTCCTGCTATGGTGTTGGAACAGTTTACAGGCTCACCACAGAAGTCTACCAATGTTCGCCGTAATCCGAAGTGTCTGGACGCTGATGGTAACCACTTTGGGCACCTCTTGTAATTGCAGAAGTCAAACGTGACTTGTACTCATCTTTTGTTATCAGTATATATTAATACAGTTTTTTCCTTTCTCAAAATGTGTATATATTATTTTGGCACCCTCTATATATTCACTATACTGCGCATTTGATCTCTATGGCTTATTTACTACTCATTGCAAGTTTGTATCTTAAACAACATCAATCTTATCTCCCCACCCCATGCCCTGGTAACCACCGTTTTCCTCTATTTTTTACGAGTTTGTCTTTTTTTATAATCGACATATAAGTGATTCATATAGTACTTGTCTAGGGGAAAATAATTTGATAGTTCTTTCCCATACTGCTATTCTTTCTCCAATACCAAAATAAGATACTATAAATACTATAAATACCAAAAAAAAGATACTACAGTACTGATGCTTAAGAGGGAATGTACTTCTGCAAAGTGTTATGGCTATGTAATTGCCTAAGACAATTACAGTATCTAAAAGCTCAGTGTGTTGAATAAAGATGTAATAATTTGGGGTCAAGTCAATGCTTACAATGCTTACAATGCATATTTATGTAATAATATTTTGAAAAACAGAAACAATTCAGATTCAGAATTAGAAAAAAGAAATCTACTACTCAAAATAGAGACAATTCACACAATTACAAAAGCTAAACTAGACACCTCCAAAGCTTCTAATTAAAAAACCTTGTTTTTGTATAAAAAAACTTGTAATGTACATTTTACCTTCATGCTCTTCAAATTCTGCTTGAATTTTAGTGAATAAGTCTTCTAGTCTCTTTTGTTGAGCTTCCGCATATTTTGCTGCTTCCTTTTCTTCTTCTCTTTCATTGCGAAATATGTATAGTCCAGATGAAGTTTTCTCCATCCACTGTAATAAATCATCAAACAGAAAATATGGTAAGGAGGAATCATTCAAACTAATTGTCTCAAAAGAGAGAACTAGAGAGTAAGTTTCAAGGACATATCATACCTGTATAGGATATACTCTTTGAATAATTACGTCAACACAGCCAACATTTCCTCCATCACTGAAAAGTGATGACAAGGGAAGAGGAAACGGTCGAGGGTCCGGAAAGAATCCCAGTTTGGCATACCAGCAAGCAGGCCGGGTACTGTTAGCAGAAATCTGGACAAATTAAGGAATACATCGGTTTATAAGTGAAGTAAATACAACCCATTGTATTTCACATTTTGTAACCTTTTCATTCTTTTAGGGCTGCTTTGAAAATACAGTAATACCTTGGTTTGCGAGCATAATTCGTTCTGGGAACAAACTACTCGTATTGCAAGACATCGCTCGTTTACCACGTTAAAATGTATTAGAAATGTTTGTTCGTCTTGTGGAACACCCACAAACCAAGCTACTCGCAATCCAAGGTTTTACTGTATTTTTAATTAAGGTATGTATATCGTTTTTAGACATAATGCTGTTGGACACTTAACAGACTACAGTATAATGTAAAATAACTTTCATATGTTCTGGGAAACCAAAAATTTATGTGACTCGCTTTATTGTGACTTTTGCTTTATTTATGGTGGTTTGGCCTCGAACCCATAATATCTCCAAGGTCTGCCTGTATTAGAAAATAAATAAGACTTTAATTTAAACATAATGAATTAAAATATACTTATTTATCTAGGCTCCCTCAAAAAACCTACAAGGACAAAGAGAACTGGAGAGGACAACAGATGAGATATCACCAAAATTTTGGAAGCTAAAAATTTGTTGCACAAATGGTAAATAACAAAGCAGTTGGAGCATGATTACAGTTAATAAAAACAGCAAACATTCACAGAGCACTTACTATGGTGCCTGGCACAGTGTCAGTGCTTTACATACATTAACATTTAATCTTCACAACAACCCAACTTGTTCCCATTTTACAAGTGACAAAACTGAAGTACAAGGGAAATTACATAACTGACCCAAGCTTAGTCAGCTAGCAAACTTCTTGTATGGAGCCAATATGAAACAAAAAACTTTAAGAAAATCACCCAGACACTGGAGGCAACAGGTACATTTGTAGGTTAGGAGCATGAGGTGCGGCTGAACATAGGAGAAATGGTGGAGATTTTGTATGAAGATAATTAAGACCTCAGATTTCCTCTCCTATCCCAAGCAATCAGGTGACTATCCATCCCTCATACCAAAAAGAACCCAGGAGAGTTTACTTTCTGGAGAGGCTGAACTATACACATCCCAGACTCTGCAACACCAGGCAGAGGCAGCTAGCGTGGGGTGAGATGCTGTATTGAAAACAAAAAATGAAATGAAAACCCTTATGCTGAAAAGGAGTCCCTGTTAGTTTTCTTACTCTGCTCAGCTCTCAAAACAGTCACTGGTATTTGAGGGTCTCCTAATAAAAAAGAAAAAATCAAATCCCCATCTTACCCTACAAGTTGACAAGCCCCACCTCACACAGAGCTTCTAATCAGCTCATCAGTACCCCACTTGTGAAGAGGAAAGAACAGCTAATAACCACCAGTGAGGGAAAATCTCTAACCCGAGACACCAAAACAAACAAAAAGAGAGGCTCTCATAGGGGAAAAAAATGCAGGGAGCAGAAAAAAACTAAAATAAAACAAAATACTAATCAGCCTCAGAAAGATGAGAAGATACTGTATCTATGAAATAAGAAATTGATGTCATAAAAAAACATTTAGGGGATAATAAAGGTCTCTGGAAATTGAAAATTATGCCAATAGGCACAAATTCACTTTAAGAATTAGAAGGTAAGATTAAGAACTAGAGAGTAGGGGGGAAAAAGACAAAAAAAAAAAAAAGGGAAGATAGGAGGGAAAAAAGACAAGAAAATTACAGGATCAATCTCAGAGGCCTAGTGCCCAAATATCAGGAATTAAAAAAAAAAATAAAAGAAAAATGAAGAGGGGAAAAAAATAGAAGGGAAGAAATTATCAAAGAACTACTTCGAAAAAATGTCCCAGATGGGCCGGCAGAGTGGCTCCGTTGGTTAAGAGCTCCCTCAAGAGTGCAAGCTCTGAGCAACACGGTTGCCAGTTTGATTCCCAGCCCGAGCTGGGCTGCCGCTGAGCTGCCAACAGGTGGCAGGATGGCTCAACCAAAAAAAAAAAAAATGTCCCAGAACTCAGTGAAGGACATAAGTTTATAGATTGATTGTCACTGTGTACCCAGGACAATGATTTAAAACAAAGACTGACACCAAAGTGCATTATTATGAAATTTCAGAATACTGGAGACAAATGATATTTAACACTTCTTGGAAACAGATCTCACAGTAAAAGACTGGGAATAAGAATAATATTGAACTTAGCAGAAGCTTCACTAGAAGAAAATAATAGAGGAAATGACTTCAAAATTCTAAAAGAATAATATCAATCTCAAACTTTATATTCGGCCAACCTTATAATATAATCAAAAAAAGCTACATGCTGCCTTTCTCAAGAAGCTTCTGAGTTGTGTGTCCTTAAAACAAAGGCATAAATCTAGAAAGATATGAAATCCAGAAAATAGGGCTTCTAACACAGAAAGCCGTGAGAACAATTTCCAAAATAACTGTGCAGCATATGTAGAAAATAACCACTTCAGAATAAAGCAAGAATATGGAGAGGTCCAAGGGATCTCCAAGAAAAAGAAATGGAACTGATAAAGGTATTTTAACATACTGAGTTTTATATAGCTCCTCTATGGGAATGAGTTGGTGGTAAGGACACAGAAAATTAAAAAAACAAAGAAAAACAATAACCTCAGGGAAAGCAGTAAGCTGTGAAGAAAGGAAATTTAATCATAGCATAGTATATGCTGAGTTGCAAAAAATATTTTTCACATTCATTATAACGTAAACATTGAATACAGACTTCACTCCTCTTTCATAGCAGGAAGCTAACAGTTAATGTCTAAACTGGAGGAGAAAAGGAACAGGTTTGGTGTGACTCTCTTTGGGAAGCATAAGTAGCCTCAGGCTGGCCGCATCAGTGGCTGCCTTTTTTGCGGGGGTCATAAGCCTTATACAGTCATGTGCCGCTTAACGATGAGGTACGATGTTCTGAGGAATCTGTCACTTGTACTAGGGTTATTAGGTCATTTCCAAGAAATGGTGCATCCTTAACAGTCGTCGGTAAATTAAAAAATTTAAATGTACCAGCTCCAGAATTTAAGTCAGTGATTGATTTTTTTCCAAGAGTGTGCATTACTTTAACTTACCTTTAACATGAGAGATTCTGGGGCTTCCAGAGGTGGGCAGGCGTCAGGAGAGCCCACCAGCTCTGCTCCATGAATGATGACCTTCTGACCAACGGCTAGCCGGCCGTCCTGTAGGAGGGCTGAGAGGGGAGGGTCCAGCTGGGCCTTCACGGCGTACCAGCCATCTGTCAGTTCCACGGCAACCGCTCTGTTGGTCTCCAAACCGCTAGTCTTACTGCTAGAAGTTTCAGGTCCATTTGTGCTTGGTGGAATTATTTCGGAAACACAGAGAACGAGTGTTTTTGCAGCTGTGTCATCCCTTTCCATTATCTTTTTTATAGCTGATCTTCTGCTTCTATCAATTTCTATATCATATCTAAAAAGAAAAACGCATGCTTTAGGAACTATGAGTATACAATTTCGTTGAAGAAAAAAGTCACCAAGTAACTGAAAATAAAAATGTAATACCTTTACTGAAGAAATACTGAGACAGAAGAGAATTTAAAATTTGGTAGCTAGCAAAACATTACCTTTTATTAGTGTTAAAAATGAATTAAATATTAAAACCCCCCAAAATGCTGTATTAGCAATTTCTGAATAGTGGATCAAATTAGTAATTCCTATTCTTTTCATATGCCCAAGAGGTTAAAGAGGGGGTGGGGGAGGAGGGAGACCAGAGGTGTGTGAATGTGTGATTTCTCTTAAGTGGGGGCTGGGGGATGACAAGAGAACTACTCAATACAACTGAACAGCAGTGTGGGATGGCGACTGCCACCGACAGCTGGCTTGTGTGCCTCTGTGACACAGAAGTCAAAGACTGCAGGGAAGCCTGAACCATAGTGCAGAATATGATCCATAACGTAATGCTTTAAACTTGCCTGTATTTTAGTTGAAGAAGCACCCTTTCTGGATTTAGGCATCTATTAGCAAATTGCTCAGGGAAGGCAAATTCCATAGCTGCCAGCTTCCATATAATCCATCTGTAGTGATTATAGACCCAAACTCTAGAAATAAGCTTTGGATCCACACCTGGGGTGTCACACAGAGCCCTGAACAAAGAAAGGTAGAATAATATAATAAAAACCAAATAATATTAACTTCAATAACCATGACTATTCTTTGCAAAAATTATGCTATACAAGAGCATTCAATAAGTTTTAGAAATAATTTTAGAAAATGATTTGATATGTAACAAAATATACTAATAAAAACTCACTTAACATATTAGTTAGTACAATTATTTCAACTTTTTAAAGAGATTGTTTTTAGAAATCACCTAAGAACTTCCCTAGTGCTGGTGCTTCCCTCTGCTCAGATCTCAAGCTCCACTTTCCATCCTATTCCCACTCTCAGCATGAGGAACAGAAGGCACTTCCACAAGCCTCTGCACTCGTACACACGAGCCCACCAGCACATGCCCCTTCCACTGCGCCTTCTCTTGCCATGTGTACACGAGCTCCCACCCCTCCTTGTCCAGTCAAGGACATCAATCTAGGAGATGCCTCTTCTTTCTCTGCATCATCGATTTTATTCCCCTCTACTGGATAAAAATAGTTTTTAGACCTTCAAACAAACAAAACAAATGAACACAGCAAAACTAACACCCTTGATCCCACTTCCTTCTTCACATACTGCCCTTTTCTCTGCTTCTTTTTTGGGCAATGCCTGAAAGAATGCCCATGTTCTCCCTCCAGTGCCCTTCTTCCCCTGCTGCCTGTGATCAGGCTTTTGCCCACTGATCTCCTGAATTACTTTCACTAACCTCAGCTGTCTCTTTGCAGCCCTCATCTTACTGTGCCTGTTAGCAGCATCGACACAGCCGGTTCCTCTCTATCCCCGGAAGTGCCACCTTCACTTGGCTTGTGCCACACCCACTCTTTGGCTTTATTTCTAACTTTTGGGTTCCTCTTTGTCAGGCTCTTTTTCATGGTTTTAAATTCCATCTATATGCTGACAACTCTCACAATGATTGCTTTGGCCTAGGCTTTACTATGAACTTGACTTGTATATGTAACTTCCTACTCAACATCTCTACTGCATGTCTACTAATATCTCGAACTTCGAATGTCCCCAACTGAACTCCCAATTTCCCTTCCATCCTTGGTCTTCTTAACTCTCAGGACACAGTAACTATCCTTCCAGCTGCTAATGCCAAAATCTTAGAAGACTTTTTTACTTTCCTTTTTCCTCACACTCCTTGTCCAATCTTTGAGCAAATGCTGAAGGTGCCATATTCAAAATATACCCAGAATTCAACTGCTTTTCACCAACTTGACTGCACCTCCTTGGCCTAAGCAACTCCCCCTCACCTGGGTTACTGCCATAGCTTTCGAAGCGGTATCTCTGCTCCCATCCCTGCCCCTCCCCACCATCTAATCTCAACAAGTAGCCAGAGTCCTTTAAAAAATAAGTCAAATCAGGTCACCCTCTGCTTTACACATTCTGAGGGTTTACTCGGAGTAAAAAGGATCACTCAGAATAAAAGCTGGAGTTCTTGCAAAGGTCTGTAAGGCCCTACCTCTCTACATCTGCTCAGTCTACTTCAGCTACCCTAACCTTCCTCCTGTTCCCCAAATAAGCACGGCCCCCCAAAGCCCAGGATGCTGTCCCCAGATGGTCCTGTGTTCACGCCCTCTGATCAAAGGCCACAGGCTCAGGGGAGCCTCCTGATTAATGACTCATTAAAATAACTTGTGCCTCTTCCCACTCAACTCTCCCTACACCCTTTCCAGCTTTATCTTCATAGTATTTATCACATTCTAATACAATTTATTTTTCTTTAAAATTTTCTTTCCTCACTCCAGATACTTGCACTAGAATGTATGCCTTTGTAGGGTAGATTTTCTTGGTTTGTCACCCCTAGTACTCAGAATAGTATCTGGCACATGGCAGGTACTCAATAATGTTTGATAGATGATAAAAAAAACAATGTGAGTGTCAACACTCAAATGTTATACACCATGCCCACCTGACTACAGGGTAATACTCTTACCCTCTACACAGTGCAGTCTACTTCACACATGGAAATAATACCACTGTTTACCATAGTTTTTCTATTAGAACTGACAGCAGATATTTGCTATATGAGACAAATGCAAGATGTAAATAACATTCCTGTTTGAAAATAGTCCAAAAACATAACAAAATCAGTTTTTATTTTGTAAGTCCATAAGAAAAATGCCCTAATTTCAGAAAACCAATTTATTAAATCCTAAGATGAAACATAATTCATGTCTTAAAAGATTTCAACAGAATGTCAATTGGACCATAATCAACTCAAAATGATTCAATGTATAAAAATTTGATTCCTTCCCAACTTTTTAAGTTCAAGAGAGAAAGAAAGAGAAAAACGGGGGACTTGTGAGGAAGAGAGGGATGACGGAATATATAAAAACACAAAATCTCTTATTGCATAGAGTACCTATAAAATTCTTCTTTTCCAGCCTTTCCATCATTGGAGGGTATGAGCCATCCACCGTCAGCAAACTGTATTCCCTTTCCAGCCCGTAAACTTTCCTTACCAAAATAATCCTGAACGTGAAACTGAAAAGACTCTGCATTTTTGCTGTTAATTTTTACACAGTGTTTAGAAACGCCATACATATATAGCTGCACAAAATAAATCAGAAAAATTGGATAATGAATGAAAAACAAAAGCAAACAAGAGCATGTTTCATCGAATACAAATGATTGTAACAAACCAAAACTGAATGTACCGAACATTTTTCATTTAACACGTTAAGTGCCAAGCCTGTTTTGTCTTCCTTTCAGTTTAGCCCACGATATCCGATTTCACCGAAACACCGATGTGTTTTCTCTTCAGTCAGTTGTCTGTGGTTCATGTTCCAGTGCAGTTTAAAAAATTTCTTTACCCGTAACAGTGACAATGTCAGTAGAACATGTGAAAGCGATTCAAATGAAATTAGTTTTCCTAATAGAAGAATATGATTTTTTAAATTGTATATTGTCAGTCACCGGTGACTGACGCAGTCCGAACAGAAAGTATAGTGTCAGTTACCGGTGACTGACATGGCGCTTAATGTGTTAAGTATTAAAATATTCACTGTAAAATATTTCTTACTTACTAGAAGCTAAACATCTTACTGTATATAAATGACCCATTCATTCAAGGGTCTGCTACACCTTTTTCATTCCCCTTGTGTATACATCTCCTGCTATATCTGCCATAGGAAGTCACATTGGGGCTAAAACAGTAATTTATGTTTTACAAAACCTCAAGTTCAAACATTTAAAGGGGAAAGAACAATGAAAAATTTAAGTATTTCAGGAAAGCTGGCCTCAGGAGGTCAGATTTCTGCACAGGCCTGGCCTACTTTTAAGGTGCTTGCTTTCACCCCAGCATGTCTGACCCCACAGTTCTCTTCTTTGTTTTGTTTTTTTTTTTGTTTTTTTTAGCTGAGCCATCCTGCTACCTGTTGGCAGCTCAGTGGCTGCTCAGCTCGGGCTGGACTCGAACCGCTGTTGCTCAGAGCTCAAACTGTTGAGCGAGCTCTTAACCAACTGAGCCACTCGGCCGGCCCTACAGTTCTCTTCTTTTGTTCAGACTGGACTCTGGAGTCAGACTCCTTGCTTTGGATGTGGCTCTTCTACTTACTAGTTAAGTGACTTTGGGGCAGTTACTTAACCTTCGCTGTGCTTCAGTCCTCTCATCTGTAAAATGATGGACAAAATAATGGTGCCTTTCTTTAAGGGTGCTTGTGAAGATTAAAAGAGATATAACCAGCAGGTACAGAGCTTAGAAGATGTCTAGTTTATAGGAAATACTCAATAAATGTCACCTATTAATATTACCAATATTATTTTCACCTCTCCAGTGCCTAAAATACTACCTAGATAACGCTGGCTTAATCAGAATCCTCGTTTAAAAACACACATAGCTCTTCGTGGGTTCAGGGCTATGAGTTAGTCACACTTTAAATTTGATGAGATTACACTGCATTTCCCCATGTATAAGACACACCCTTTTTCGAAAAATTTGGGGTCTAAAAACTGGGTGCGTCTTATACAGTGGTTGTAGATTTTTTAAACTTGCATTTCCCTCTTTTTCGCGCTTGTTTTCTTTGCGCTCATTGTTTTGCACTTGTAACCGGTATATTACGGTAGGTTACGTTTTGCCACGTTCTGCCCAGAATTGTCTCAGAAAATATTTTTGTACAGTGCTGAATTCAAGTTAAAAGTGATCCAGTTTGCAAAAGTGAATGGAAATTTTGCTGCTGAATGTAAGTTTGGTCCTCCTCCAACTGAGTAAACAATCCGAGACTGGCTACGGGAAGAAGAAACCCTACGGAAAACGCCACGGCAGAAGGCCATGAGAGGCAAGTCAGCAAAATGGCTAGATTTAGAGAGGGAATTGAAGATATGGATTGAAGAGCAAAGGGCAATTGGAATTCCTGTGTCCACAAAGATGGTTCAGCATGAGGCAAGAAGAATTGCTGATGAAAAGGAAGTTAATAAAACTTGAGTTCAATAAATTAATGTAATACTTTCTTTTTCCAATTTCAGGCCCCAAAATTAAGGTGCGTCTTATACATGGGAGCGTCTTATACATGGAGAAATACAGTACTTTCCTGTAACACCTAGCAGAGAGAACTTATAGCAATAAAATGAATTCGTTTTGAAGGGGAAGAGAAATCGTAGTTCTGAAGCACAGATCAGTTTGGTAGGATAAGGCAGCAGAGGAGGAGGGGGCTGCCACTGAGGGATGAATGGGAAACATGATGATTTCACGCATCCATCATTTCTGCTTTAATTTGCTGCTTCTTCAAACAGAGCAGCTTGGAGATACTAGTTAATAACAAAGTTACACTTTACTGTAGAGGCTGTTAGCGTTGCAGACAAAAGCGTACCTGTTTATGAGAACATGCAGAGGGAGCTTGGCCTTTGACTGCGACTTTCAGAGAGATTCGAGGCATAGTGGATGTTTTTGCAAGATACAGGCTGCCTGCCTGTGGAAAAATACGTTGCCTGTGTTTCTTTTTAATCCGCACATCCTGTGCATCTCTGGCATTCTGAAGATTTGTAATTAAATCTATTAAGGAATTAAATAATTAGCAAAAAATAATACTGAATATAAAATTTAAAAAGCACCACCTTTGTTTCATAAAGTCACATCTATCAATTTGCTCTAATTTTAAATAATCAGGGATGAAAAAAGTTTCAACTTGTAAAGAACAGAAATAGATCTATTATTTTTATTGTGAATTTGGAAGAAAATTAGTAGTCTGATAAAAAATATGTTCCAGTAACAGCAATCCTGGTTTCTTTTAAACAAGAAAGTTTATAAGTAGTTACGTTTGAAAGATAACATTAGAATAATTTAAACCTAATCTTTGGACTTAGAAAAATCTGAAGCATTAAAGAAAGTTTTAAAATTATTAATCACCACAAAAGGGGGAAAATCCTCGAGGCATTATTTAATATGAGAAATACCTAACTGAAAGGCAAAAAAAATCAACATAAATTTTCACAGAATACCTGAAGGCTCTTCCTCACACTTTGTGGAGATGACAGTTACTGCCTGATTGGAGTTATCTTTGTTAGGCTGATGAATTTCACTGTCATTCATGCTATTTTCACTAACAGAAGAGTCGTGTTCATCTATGTTTTTTTGTTTTTGTTTGTTTTCCTCCAAATTAGTATTGCTGCTAACACACTGTTTATCTCTGTGAAAATGTGATTTAGTTTTAAAAGGTGGGACGAAGACTTTAATCGGTTTGCCTGTAGTAATTGAGTGCCTTCTTTTTTCATTTCTTGTGAAAGGAACCTTATAAAATGGCTGCCCCAAAACTGATAAATTGCTTGAGGATTTTTCCAAATTCAGGTGTTCATAAAAATGAGATTTTGACAGAAATCCTTGACCAGGTGCAGTAAAATTTGGAGTCTGTATTTCTTGCCGCTCCTTAGTTGTGCTACAATGGGGAGAAAACATTTAAGTTTGATTATTTACCAGTAAATGTACACATATATAGATGTTATATAATATGCATTTTTTTTTGGAGGCCCTCATTTGCTACATGGACATCCTATTCTGATTACTGTTTCATGTGTCATCATAGTTGCCATCCAAAACAATGCCACACTTTTCAAGTCTACCACTAGTTGTCACACGCTGAGTCCAGGTTTTGACTTTACCATAACAGAGGAGACTGTCACTCACAGACCCTCTGTGTCTGTCTCCTCCCGTTCCATCTCTGTACTCACCTCATCTACCAGAGAAGGCTGTCTGTCCATGTCTCATGGCTAACCCCTTCACCTGTATGTACTTCTGACCCCAGCTAATAACTCAGTCTTTTCAGAAAGGAACCCCTTTCTGTCAATTATTATTCAACCTATTTCCTTTCTCTTTCTACCACCTTTTTTTAATGCTCTTTTCATTTAACCAGAAAGCCATGCCCACCCTTGAAACACTTTTTCCTCAGTCTTATCTCCCCTTCAAGCTAAGACTCACAGTTACCTACCCTTCATGGCCAACCTTTCTAAGTAGGTAATTTAACTAGCTATTTTCACTCCCTCATTCACTGAACTCTCATTTCTTCTACTATTCTATAGAAAGTATTCTTAATCAAGTTGCTAATAACCTCGCAAATACCAAAAACATATCGCTTTATGTGTACACTCATTCTACTAGACCTCTGACAGCTGTGACAGCTAACTTTTTATTTTCTTCTTTTTTAGCTGAGCCATCCTGCCACCTGTTGGCAGCTCAGCTCGGGCCAGGAATCGAACCGCTGTTGCTCAGAGCTCAAACTGTTGA